ATTCCAAGGTGACAAGATCCTAGGATTTCAGCAAGCCTCCATCACTGATTCCAAAGAATTAAGTCAGACAAAAAGCCTGAACATTAGAATAGGCCCAGCAGACAAAAACAAGTGATGAGACTCAGCCCAAATTTAATTGGATTAGGTATATGTAGAACATAGAGATTTGGTCCATTTGCTCCTGATCAGTGACAACACAGGGGATATAGGATGAGGCAGTAACAGAAGAAAAAAATGCCTGTTCTGTATAAGAATATTCACAAAGGAAGAGAATTTTCAAAGAATTCAGAAGTTCATTTTAGGTAAATTTATAAAAATTCCATCAAAAACTTGCAATATCTGGCACATGTGCCAGAAGTCATCACACAATGTTACTGAGGTAATTTCTGTGCCTCCTTCATCGGCAGGCTTACTGAATATACAGCATCAAATACATTTCAAGCACTTGCATTTTAAATCATTGGGTCAGAGTTTGGGCAAAGCTATGACATTGAGACACTGAAGATTGAAAATATGAAAAATTCTGTATGAGTTTAGAAAAAGTTGAAATATCCACATTAGTTTATCTATCATGCAAGATAGCAGTGAACATGAGCTGTTGCTCATCTAAACAGTCTTGAAATAGTGGGAGAAATTACACGAGGTTGCATTTGTTGTCACATCTGGAGTCAGTGTTGGAAAATAGTGACCTGTTTCTCCAGTATATATTGTTTAATGGAAGAGTCAGTAATAAGAACATTATCATTCATGATTTATTAATGAACGGAGACCCTGATATACAAGTATACTAAGACCTGCAGGGCCCTAATCAGCTTCAAGATCTTCAGCCACATATTTGGTTTGGCACAAATGGAGACCTTCTGAATGGTGCTGGATGCATCCACGTTTTCAAGAGAGTTGGAGGTCTCCTATTTCAAAATCAGATCTGACAGACCATACCCATCTAGTATGAGACTATAAAGAATGGAATGGAGGTAGAATCGGTTTTGGTGCAACCTTTGGGACAATGTTACAACACAAAATGCCTACTTGATCTGACTGAAATTCTCATTACTGAGGTGTTATAGATGATGAGAATTAAATGACCCTGAACAATCACTGTCAGCATGTATGACAGTCCTTTTGGATTAATTTAAGATGACATGGATGCCATGAATACTATGGCATTATCTCAGATGGCAGCTAACTCAATGAAAATATCTGTCCATACTATCGGTCTTTAACTGAGATTAAATGTGTGAGATATACAGTATGCCTTTATCTTATTTTCCATCATGATATTTGCATTATCCTGAGCAGAGGAACTGGCAGTGGTGAACAGCTTTACTTCATCAGCTTCCTAGGTACAGAAACTCATGGACTCAATATAGACATTGGATTTATGACACACTACAACCTGCTGGACATCTGACTCCCCACGTACCTCTCCACTTTTACCTGTGCTGCTACATTCCCCCTCCCCTCTGCCCCAACCTGCCTCTCTCACCCCTGATGCCTCAATTTCCAATTTCACTGACTGGCTTTCTTGCCTGCATTGCACGCCAGCCTCTGGCTACTTTACTATTCCTTCCATCCAGGAACAGCACACACTAACTGCAGGTGTTTCTTCAGGCTGACAAAGGGTTTTTCAACTCAAAAGCTGGCATCCCAGGCATCTAAACTGAGCTCACCTGAAACCTCACAACTCCACTGCAACCAGCAAGTCTCAGGCCTGTCAAAGACGTGATGGGTCTGGGCTTTCCCCAGCCAGGACTGTGTGCATGCATGTGGTAGCTGGGTGGAGGTTATGGCATCTCCTACCCACCTTTCACCAGGGCGATCTTTGGTCCTGGCATTTCCTGTGGCTGCCGTGCTGCCAGCAGTCCCACCAGGCCTCCAGATCCTGGCAGAGGGCAGTTTTAGTGGTCATGCTCAGGACCTGGGGCCTCCTCCTTCCCCCTAGCCCCAGCCCATATCTCCAAGTTTGTCCTGGCACGGGAGCTCAGCAGGGACATGTTTTTCCCCTGCTGGCTGGTGATGCAGTGAGTGCCACCTCCTGCTCAGACAGCAGAGCATTAACTGGTTCAAAAAAATAAAATGGAAATAGGTGTGGATGGATTGAGGAGGATAGCACTCACTCCATCTGCAGGTGGAGCTTGGAGAACCCCAGCAGCAGGATGTTCACGTTGAGGAACACCAGCTGCTCCACCAAACCAGGATTCAAGGAGGTGCAGTGGGGTGCCACAACATCCCCAGCAATCCTGAACACCCTCTCACTCAGAACACTGGTCGGTAGACAGGGCAGGTGTTCCCAGGCAACCGTGGCCAGATTGTGCCACATCTGGTTGCAGGTTGCCCAATAGGCCAAGGGGTCACAGTCCAGTGGCTCCATGTCCTTGGCAAGATAGCACTGAAGCCTTGGTGCTACCTGCCTGAGGCTGGAGTCTGGTGCATCTGGAGCCCACCACTGAAGCCATGCCCTTGGCCCACACTGGCAGCAGCTGGCATGGAGGAATCTGGCTGGTGCTGGGAGTGCTGTCACAGGAAAGTTGACCCCTCTCTTCTACATCCCCTCACCTCTGCCCTTCTGCCTCCCTGACTCTCTTAGCCAGCACCTTGGTGCCAATGCACATGCTTCCCTTCATCCTCAGGTTGCACATGTGCGCCAGCATGTGGACCATACTGGACCACAATGGATCCAGCTGTTTCCTGATGCCCTCTTTCAGCTGCCTCACCAGTGCCTGCCTGGCAGTTGGCAGTGGCTTGCCCCAGCCAGGAACATTGATCCCCTGGAACTTCTCCATTTGATTCTTAAGTTCCCTCACTACAGGGGTCACCTGGTTAAGGAGGGCATTGCCAGTACTAAGAGTCTCAGTGGCCTCAAGGAAGGGCTTGAGGACCACCAATATCTGAGAGGTGGTATCCCACTCTGCTTTGTTAAGTGGGCTGCTGATCTTAATCTCCCTGAGAAGGTGATGTAAGTGCAGGGACAGGTACTGCTCCCACCTCCTTGCTCCCACTGGCAGCACAAAGCTCATGGCTGCCAGGAAAGAGGATGCATCTATGTTTGGGGGGGAAGGGACTTGCAGCTCTAGCTCTCCCCCTACACCTTCTAGCCCCTCTCACTTCCTTGCCAGAAGACCTGGCACCTGCCTTTCCAAAACGTTTCGTATTAATCTTTCCTGTGCTAGAAAATGTGTCTTGGTGTGTAACTAACTAATAATATCTCTTCTTTTTCTCTGATGTATGACTGTCTGACGTCTTCTGCGTTGTGCGTTTAATAATCTCTATCTGCCTTCTTCTTCTGTGTTGTGTTTAATAATATCTATCTTACTTCTTCTTCTATGAAGAATGTGTGTGAGTGTGTGTAATGTATGTGCTTTCCTGCACAATGATGGATCACAGTGCCAGGGAAAACACAGCTTTCTTTTTTTAAAGTGTGTGTGTGTATGGGGGGAGGGGGGACAAGAACAAATATACATTGAAAGAAATGGATTGGATAGGGATAAGTAGGGGGATTCTAATTAGTAAGCTGTATCCATTCCTTTCCAAGAACAGAAAATAGCAGGAGACTGACTAGGTAGGAAACCAAACCAGTCCTTTCAGATGCTGTTGCTCAGGCAGAAACAGCTCACAAAAGGGACAGAAAGGCTGCAGACACAGGCTTGTATGCTGTTTCTGTCCCCGCCCCCCACCCCCTACAGAGCACTGTGTATTGGAGTGGGATTCAGGTAAACATCACAGCCACTGGCCAGCTAGAGATGTCAGTCTTTCCCCACCCTCCTCCCTCTCCCTCTTCTCAGTTTCTGTTCCCCTTAAAAACTTCCTTCCAAATTGATTTGGAGGGCTTTTTTCCCCCTCCCAATTCAATTCAGATTTGGTGATTTGACCTCTGAATAAGGCTGAATCTTCTTTGAATCAAATCGTGGACCGAAGCTTTGCACACCCCTAGTCCCTACCCAAAAAAATTGTCTTCGTTATGCATATTTCATATTTTATTTTTTGAACATCTTGGATTCAGGTGGAATGTTCAACCTGTATGAAGCAAAACCTATTTCAGAAGAATTTTGGCCAGTACCACTCAATGAAGTTTCGTAGATGACTAGGGAAATTCAACCTATCCTGCTATCACATGCAAGCTGAATTCTTTTTTTTCATCTGATTGACAAAATTAAGCAGGAACATACCTGAATTATTAATGGAGGATTGTAGGGTATAGAGTATCCCTCCTCTAATAGAAGCAGTGTAATTCATAAAATCTGTTCTTGATTCTGGGAAGTGTACTAATTATCAGCTGGAATCAACTTCTTTTTTTTAAGAAGCAATTTACAGGGAATGTGGTAAGAGAGCAACTTTAGCAACTAAAACAATGCCAGCATATGCAGTGGAGTTTTCCCTTGACACGAGAGACACACTCATTTGGAGATCTGTAGCTTCTGTTTTGAACCTTATTCTGATAGAAGGGTTAGAAATCATGATCACCATATAGTGTATAGGTTTAAGGAGTCTCCATTACATGCTCCTGGTTGAGTAACCCACCTATTAGACAGACCTTTCTACACCAGACCTGAATTTGCTGACTGGGTAGAAACTAATCTAGAATTAAAACTATTTTGCACTGCTCCAAAAAGTCCTTGTGCAACTTAATTATATTGGGTATGACAATTCAGGTACACAGCCATCACCTTCTGAAAGTAGAAGCCCCCTTGCATTACTGTAGAATTATTATTAATAATAGCATAGTATTACTG